GGCACCCCACTCGCCCTCAGCTGAGACTGACTTCAAAAGCAATGACTCTAATAACTGTCAGAAGAGAATCAGAGGAAAATGGTTCCGAGACTTCTCAGACTTGATAGGACTTTGGGATCCCAAATTGTGTCCCTTAGGGGAAGGAGGTGTGTCGAGAAGGCAGTTCTTGGAGGTTGTTACATTTAGGAGCCCAGTACTTGCTAGTCACACGTCTGTTCTCATCATTATTCCCTGTCACTAGCCTCAGCTTAGAAGGCTGCTCGTGTCTGCTTAAATTAACTCAGAACAGGGACACATGTTAAGAGATGTTGTGAGTGTTGAAAGATCAAGGTACCCGTGGTGTCGACACCTCACCCATCCACCCACAGATCTTTAAAATGACGAGAGTTTTGTTTTATTTTCACATTAGTCAGTCCTTTTAATTCAGCTAAAAGTTACCCAAAAATTTAATCCCAAGTAAAAGCTTCACTGATAAGGGATCATAATTATCCTGACATTTTAGAAATTGGCAAGAAAATGGTTGCTAAGGGGCTGGGGAGGTGAAGGAAATAGATTGAGTAGATGAAAGCTGTCGGAATCCAGAATTTCTCCTCCACAGCATTTGCCCAGGTCCCAAAACAAGAAGGGCTAAAGTGACATTCTTTATTTCCAGCTGCCCTCCTGGATGACTTTTATTAGAGGCAACTCATTTTCAAAGAGTGACCATTTGAACAGCAGCATCAGCAGCAACTGGAAACTTGTCAGAAATACAAATTCTCTGTTCCTTGTCTGACCCACCAATCAGAAACTTGGGAGGGGCCCATCACTGTGTTTTTAGTAAGTCTCCAGGTGCCTGCAATAAACACTTGGTGGTAACAGAATCACCTGGAAAAATTGGCTAATGTGCTAAAACCACAGCCCTATCCCCTAGCAACCAACCTAAGGTTCTGGAATTACCTCTCAGGTGACTCTGATAAGCACCGATGTTTGGAAACCACCAATTCTAACATCTGAGAGGGCCCAGCTAGAGGCAAATAGCAGCCACATCATCGGGAATCACAGAAGTATTACATGGAAACCAAGAAACAGACAAAAGTCCGGTCAGATAACTCTTCAAGGCTGCCACTGGACAAAAACTGGTTGCATTTTAAAGCGATTTAAATCCAGTGCTTACAGGACATCTTTTCCAAATGTCAAAAAAAAAAAGAAAGAAAATAAAAGGAAAAAATGGGACAATAACTAAAAATTAAAAGAGCCCTTAAAATATTAATACATAGATTATTGCCCCCCAAAAAAAATCACTTGCAACAATAACGAGGGTTTTCTAACAAAATCTAGGAGCCTTTGGTAATTAACCACAGATTATTAAGCAATAGAGAGCTGTGAACAGTTTCTTGTTTGTTTTGTTATTTATTTACTCTGAGGTGCCTTTTCATTAAAGGATTAAGTTTCTCCCTCTTTTTCCTCTTTTCCACCAAAGTTCTGCAACAAACAAACAAACATAGAAAACACCCATGCTTAATACATACCAGCTTGGGCTGGGGATGTATGTATGTACGTAGCTCAGAGGTACAGCATTTGCCCAGCATGCATGAGGCCCTAAGTTTAAGTCCCAGCACAGCGAGAAAAAAGAAAGAAACACACACACACACACACACACACACACACACACACACACCAGATCCTCACTTGGATTTTGTTGACTTATCTCACTGAATCTTCACAACAAGATGAGAAGGGAGTAGGGAAACAATCACCATGCCTAACAAAACAAATCTCAGAGGCTCAAAGAGTTAAAATTTCCATGAGAAAAAGTAGTTGATTTTGGACCCTGAATAGTGCACTTGCCTGGCAGGTGTGAAGCACTGGGTTCAATACTCAGCACAGTATATAAATTAAAAAAATAAAATAAAATAAAGGTCTATCAACAACTAAAAAATATTTTTAAAAAATAATAAAATAAAGGGGAACAAATGGCAAACTAACACATAGAAGCTAAGACAAACAACTTAGAGAAATAGATAGGAACATATAGTTCCAGAGTCAGACTACCTGGGTTTATATGCTTGCTCTGTCATTTGCTAGCTGTGTGACTAGTTAATAAACCTCTCTGTGCTTTAGTGTCTTCATCTGTAAAATGATAATTTAAAAATTCCATCCCACAATCTCACAAAATAGCATCCCACAAATAATTGTGGGATGTGTGTGTATGTGTGTGTGTGTGTGTGTAAAATTTGTTTAAAATACAAATTTTAAGCTAAATGCAGTGGCATACACCTGTAATTCCAGTGACTTAGGAGGCTGTGGCAGGAGAATGGCAAGTTCAAGACCAGCCAAGGCAACTTATTGAGACTCTGCCTCAAAATTAAAAAAAAAATAAAAATTAAAAGGACTGGAGATATAGCTCAGTTGTGGGTTCAATCCCCACACACACACACACACACAAAAAGATAAGATATGGGCTGGGTGCGGTGGTGAACACCTGTAATCCCAGTGGCTCAGGAGGCTGAGATGGGGGAGGGGGAGATCGTAAGTTCAAAGCCAGCCTCAAAAACAGGGAGGTGCTAAGCAATTCAGTGAGACCCCGTCTCTAAATAAAATACAAAATAGGGCTGGGGATATGGCTCAGTGATTGAGTTCAATCCCCAGTACCAAAAAAAAAAAAAAAAAAAAAAAGATACATATGCAAACCTAACTAATTTGCTCCCAGATTTCACAAGTTTCTGTTATTCTATGCAACACCATAAATTTTTAGAAATAAATCAGTTTGGTTCAGCAAAAAGCCACCAAGTTTCATAGTGAGAGACAACACACTTCATTTTTACAGATGATAAAAATGGGCCTCATCTGCAATTCCAGCTGTCTGAAACCCACCACACTTCAGAGATGTAATCTCAAGCACTAATTTTTTAAATGACAAAAATAAGAAATCTAATAATTTTATATAAGTATCCTAGGTGATATAAAACTCAGAATGTAATTTTAATTGGAAATATTCTTTATGAAATAAAAATGAAAGGCATAAAAAAATCCTGTACAATCAAAAAGTTAAAGTATTTCCAGGGTATAGTCAGTCATTAAACCTAGAACAGAAATTAATTGAGTGCAAATTCCTAGAAATTGGTTTCATGGCATTATAAATGTGTGAATTAATTGCAATATCCTAATCTTCTGATCACAATAGCAAAGGCATAGCAAGGAAAAAAAGTATTAACCATTCATGGATACATATGTTTGTAAGTCAACTAATACCCCACACAAAAAATAATATTTAAGAGTTCCCCAATGTAGACCATAATACATTTGTATAAAAACTATTCACCTACACATTAGAAAATACTAAGTCTCCAGATACTTTAACAATGCTTTGCTCCTATACAATATTTATAATGTGCCAACCATTTCTACCTTCATAATTTCCTTTGAACTTCCTGGCATAGGGGATGAGATAACTACATTCGTACTCATTTTTAAAGAGAAGATTGTACAACCTTAGAAAATTTAAGTAAGCTGCCCAAAGATGTTGAACTTAGCAGAACACAGGATCCTAACTCCTATTCTCTTTTTGTAAGTACCAAAAGATATGTCCATGAAAACATATTTAACAATGGTAAGTCCTCCCTAATCAGAACAATGTGTGTATTTCTTCTTTTAATTGTGGGGAGATGTCTGTTTGAATTGAACAAGAACAAATAAAAGCTAATGGGAAAACTGAAAATGTGTTTTTATTTTTTCACAGTACTGGGATTAAACCCAGAGGTGCTTTACCACTGAGGTACATTCCCAACCTTTTTATATTTTGAAACAAGGTCTTGCTGACAATATTTTTTGAAAGAAAATTCTCAAGGGAAAAATAATACACATATCCTTACCTCTCAGTGAGTCCAGGCGTAAGCCAATCCCCTCTTCACTAACCTCATCCTTTTGCACTTAGGGGGACCAACATTGTACACTTGATCTACTCAATCCTTCTTGAAAACTAGCAAAGGCATAATAACAGATAATCCTCAGCTTTGCTTGAGATGAAGTGAGGATTCAAGAATGAGACCAAAGGCCAACATATATATTTAACAACATTCTAGAGTGTCTTTTTAAAATTATGACCAAGAAATTTTACTCCCACTTGCACAAACCAGGACCTGCTTTGAATAAATGGATCTTTTGAATATCTCCAACTAAAAATTTTAAAAGTTTCGTCATTTCATTCCCTCAGCTGATGAAGTAAAAAGATCTTGTTCAGATATAATATTGGATATTTGCATAAAATTCTACAGTTTGCCAAGTATTTCTGCATGCATCTGGATATTAGCATAGAATTCTAAAGTTTGCAAAATATCTCTGCATGCATCCTGTCGGCTCATATTTTCCAGCTACCTAGTGAGATGTGTATTATTACCATCCCTATGACACAGATGAATCACTGGAAGCACAGGGAGAGTCTCTACCCAAGATCATAGTGAAGGCAGCAGGTGGAGACTGAGATTCACTTCTGACTCCAAATCCTGTGAATAATTTTCACTTCTCCCACATTGCCTGTCCTAAAAGTCTTCCCCTAAGCTGGCACCCCAAGTCCCTTCTGAAGGAACTAGTTCGAACCCTGGCTTCCTTCTTCACAGGAAAAATTAAGTCTTGGACCAGCAAGAATTTTCTGCCCTTTTCCGAATTCCCCTGGGACAAGGCAGGAAAGAATGCTTCTTTTGTACTTGTCTTTCCAAGGCGACAAAAAGACATTTCCCCGTGGTACTGGCGCCAGTATAAAGCTGAATAAAGGGGTCCTTGGGGTGTTAGCTGTCTTGCCAGCTATGTTTAAACCCCAAATGAAAAATAGTCCTTTTAAAATAACCCCTACTGATCTAAAAATAAATTTTAACTTGTAAAAGAAATTATGGCCAAGACGACAAGAAGAGCAAAGTCCCGTTGGGATAGAGAGACTTCTCTTCTCCCCCTGAAGTAAGAAGTTCCCTAAAAGGTCTCCTGGCAGGAGCTCCCCGCGATTTATCAGGCGAGCTAGGGAAACTCACCCGCAGGGCTGCAGCTTCGTGGCAAGCAGGATTGGGACATAGTCTCCACTCGCTTCAGCACCGCGGACAGCTCCCGGCTCTCCAACTTCGGGCGCTGGTCCCGGCTCTCGGCTGCTGGCAGCGCCTCCCAGGCTGCGGGAGGATTGGGCGTCTCTTCACGAGTTTGGGGGAACACGAGTGTGTCTCTGTGAGCAACCGGAGTTGCCGATGGGGCCTCGGGCTGCGATGGCGATGAGCCCAACTGCACCACGGTGTTGCGGGACCGCGCCAGCGCCGAGGAGACCGATCCCATCTCGGCGCGCCAGGCCGGGCCCAGGTGAGCTTCCCGGCTCCCCAGGGGATCGACACCCCTAAGCTGCCAAAGGCTTACTTCCTTCAGGCATCGGGGCGCCCCCCGCCGACTGCTCCACCTCGGTCCCTTCAGGAAGACGAGAAGGCTGCAGGGAGTGCTGCCCGCCCACCCCAAGTAGACTGAAGTAATCTGGGTGGTGTCAGCGCCTGACAGTCCAATGTGGATGGGGCACTTGGACAGAAGGAAGATGTTGACGTACAGAGATTGTCCGGAGGCTTTAAAGGGGGCCGAGGGAAGGAAGGGGCGTGGCATTGAGCACGGGATACTTTTCCCCCCACTTTTGCACTCGGTTCACCTGGGGACAAAGGCTTGGCGCCCTGTTCCTCTCCTCCTGGCACATCTGGGACTCTTCTGTCCCAGAGGAGGATGGAAGGTTTCACGAGGGCGAAGGAGGAGCCAGGATTGTTTTCTTCTCAATTACTCTTCTTAAAGCTAAAGTCTTGCTCTTCTAGGCTGTGCTTCCCGGAGGGTGCCAGGCTCAGGGCTGCTTGGTGATCCCCTCCCCAGCATGTCTTCTCCAGGTCCCTAACCCTGGACGCCGCCCTTTTACCCTTCCTTTAGGGGCTTAAGATCTGAGAGGGAGGCGGAAGTGCCAGCAGAATCAGCTGAGCTACATCTGGCTCAAGAGAGCAAGCAGGGAGGCGCCAGCAGGCCCTGGGGGCTCCCAAGACTGGAAGCCGAGCAGCCTGGGGCCCTATTAATAGGCCTGCTTTGCTGGCCAGGATGAGGCCACTGGCCCCATCTGTTTCTCTGCCTGCAATGAGAAGATAGTGGTGCCTAATGTGGGGCAGAAGGGAAACCTGGGATAACATTTCAGCTAAAAGATGTAACTGATCCCACCCCTGTCCTCCTAGCTACTCAGGAGGCTGAGGCAGGAGGGTTGCAAGTTGGAGACTGGTCTTGGAAACTTAGTGAGAATCTGCCCCCCTAAAAAGGGGGGGGGGCCCGCTGGGGTATAGCTCAGTGGTAGAAGGCCCCTAGGTTCAATCTCCAGTACTGCCCCATCCAAAAGAAGTGTAGCCCAGAGAAGTCTTGCCCAAGGTCACACAGCCAGTTAGTGATGGAGCTGTGTCTTGCTCATGGCACTCTTCTTTCTAAATCTGCTCTCCTATCCATACTGCTCCTGAAAGGTTGTCAGGCACTGAATTATGAAACAAGACACTTGCATAATACACAGCAAACCTGATGTTGTAATGTGTGAGGGGAGAGTGACTTCATAGAGGATTCCTCAACTGGCCTAAAAACCTGCCTTCCTCTGCCTTAACATCCAGCACTGTTATGGGTTGGATGTGAGGTGTCCAAAAAGTTCCTATGTTCACAAAGGAATATTTGGAGGTGAAATGATTGGATTGTGAGAGCTGTAACCTAATCAGTGCATTTGAGTTGGGCTGACTGGGTGGTAACTGAAGGCAGGTTGGGGGTGGCTGGAGGAGGTGGATCTGGGCATGCCCTGGAGAGGCTCCTCTTCATGTGGCCCTATCCACTTCCCCTATCTGCTTTCCCTCTGCTTCCTGGTTGCCCTGAGCAGAGGAGCTTTCCCTCACCACACCCTTCCACTATGAAGTTCTATCTCATCCTGGGCCCAGAACAATGGACTCAGCCAACCATGACCAAACCTCTGGAACCTTGAGTGAAAATAAACTTTCTCTCATCCAAGTTGTTCTTTTCAGGTTCACAGCAATGCAAAGCTGACTAACACAAGCACTCTTTTTTGTGGCAGCATGATATGTGTCTTGACACTGTCATCTATGAAATGCCATGCACACAAGTAAATGAAAAGTATTTTTGTAGAGATGGCTTCCAAAAACAATCAAATCAGCAAATCCAAAAATTGGAGAGGAACAGGAAAAAGGGGTTTTAGAGTCCCAAACTGGTAATTTAGAGAAAAGACAAGTCAAGGGATTAGCCAGGATGGGACAACTATGATACAACCGAGTGCACAATTCCTACATGTGTCTCTCTCCCTCTCCCTCTCCCTCTCCCTCTCCCCTCCTTCTCCCTCTCCCTTTACCCCTTCATTTCCCTCTTTCTTTTTCTCCCTCCCTCCCTTTCTTTCTCTTTCTCTGGACTCTTTCCTGTGATGTGGGCAGAAGCTAAAATCCTAGACTCTGAGCCAACATTATACACAGGAACCTCCATTTAGGGACACACATACCACTACTTCTTACACTTTGCAAGGGCTAGGGTAGTATCTTCTCACTTCTGCCAGCCTCAGGGACCCATGTTCTCAGTGCAGGCAAAAGGACCACAATAGGATCCACCTGCCCATTTTGAATTAGTCTGGGTTCTCCATAGAAGCAGAATCTAAAGGAGATATAGATATATTCAGATATAAACAGAGAAAAGGGAATCAAGATTAATCATGAGTAATGAGCTCATGTATTTTTGAGGTCCCATGACCAGCAGAAGGCAAGTTGAAAACCAGAAGAGCCTATGATAATTTCAGTTGGTGATTCCAAAGGCCTGAGAACCAGAAGAGCCAATGGTGTAAATTCCAATCTGAGTCTGGGTCTGAAGGTGGCAGAAGACTATCAATCAGAAGAATTCTCCTTCATTCCAACTTGTGATTCAATTCAAAGAATTGAATGAGGCCCACTAACCTTGGAGAGGGCATCCTGCTGTACTCAGGCCCCCAATTCAAATGAAATCTTATACAGTAACTTCCTCACTAACACTTCTGGAATATGTTTAACCAAACATCTCAGTACTCCATGGCCCAGTCATGTTAACACATAAAACTAGCTACGATGTCATGCATTTATATGACTGTGTTAATTTCTTTATGATTTTTTGAATACCTTTTTATTCTTTTATTGCTCACCTAGAAAACCCCAATATAAATCCTCACTCTGGGAAAACCCTCTCTTAAGAGAGAGAGTTCTGGGTCTGGGGTTGTGGCTCAGCGGTGGAGCACTCGCCTCACACGTGTGAGACCCTGGGTTCGATCCTCAGTACCACATAAAAATAAAATAAGTGAAACAAAGGTATGTGTCCAACTACAACTTAAAAAAATAAAAGAGAGAGTTCTTTTATTATTATACCTTGGCTTGCCCTTCCAGTACATTAGACATAGGCAACTTGATTGCCATGGTTTAGATGTGGTTCATTCCCTAAAGACTGATGTGCTGGAAGGTTGGTCCCATTGTGGTGATGTTGAGGCGGTGGAAACAGAAAGAGGTGGGGCTTAATGGAAAGTAATTAGTTCCTGGGGGTTCCCCCCTTATGAATGGATTAATGCTCTCACAGAAGTGGATAGAATCCGAGAGTGGGTTATTGTAAATAGTGCAAGGCTGGCTCCTCCATGTCTCTTGCTTCCTGGAAGTCTTGCCATGTGATCGCTCCTTCTCCCATTTGTTCCCTCCATGATGCCTTAGCTGTGATGTGATGTAGTCAGAAGGTTCTCACCAGAGCTGAATGCTCTAGATTCTCCAAAACTGTGAGCTAATAAACCTCTTTTCTGAATAATGTATCCAGACTCAGGTATTGTGTTATAGCAATAGAAAATGGACTAATGCAAACATTAATAATGCAAAAGTGGGCATGGAAAGAAGATGTCCCTGACCTACCCTAAGTGAAATATTCCACTTAACTATACCTATTGTAAATATACATGAATATAATACTTCTTCTATATGGAATGGTAAAGAGCTGCTATCCTAAACCTCCAGACTTCCCCTGCCACTCTGGCTAACACAGGCCTTCCCCCCAAGACAGACAGACAGACACACACACACACACACACACACACACACACACATCTTATAGCCAGCCGGCACAGCAGGGGGCCTTGGTACTGAAGGTAGTATCTGATTGATTGGACCTCTAGTCTCTTTTTTTTTTGACATGTGTAGTACTAGGGATTGGATCCAGGGTTGCTCTACCACTGAATTACAACCCTAGCCTTTTATTTATTTATTTATTTATTTATTTATTTATTTATTTATTTATTTTTGGGAGACAGTGTCTTGCTAAGTTGCCAAGGCTTGTTCTGAACTTGCAATCAGATGAGATTGCAGGTGTGTACCATCATGCCTACTCATACTATTCTTACCTATTTTGAATATCCCTACCCCTTACACAGTAAGGGCTCAGTGAATGTCAATGCCTTTCCCTTTTTCATCCCTTCTGTGTTTATTCTTTCTAATGACCCTTCAGGATTTTTTCCCCACTTTTCCAGATGAGGAAGTAAATTCATCAGCAAGAGTTAAATGACTGTTCACCCTGATAAAAATTGCAGGATCAAGTTTCAAATCCAGGTCTCTCTGGTTCTGACATGTTGCCCACATTTTTCTTTTTCTTGCTTTCTGAGCAATTTTACCCCAGAACCCAGTTCTTCCCTATTGATGGATGATCTGGAAAGGCTTTGCCACCCTGGAGATGATGTCTCCTCCTATTTCTTATCCCTGAGTTTAGGAAAACACACACACACACACACACACACACACACACACTTTCTCAGGGACAGAAGTTTAGCTCGACTGTGAATTTTGTATATGGTGCTATTGCTGATAATCAGATCCTTCCAGTTCTTTTGTCAGTGGCATGAGAAGAACCTGAAAAACTAAAACAATCTTCCCTGTCTTTTTTTCCCACTTGTATTTTAAAACACAGGGCTGTAGCCAAGTACAATGGTGCACATCTGTAATCTCAGCTACTTGGGAGGCTAAGTAGGAAAATTGCAAGTTTGAGGTCAACCCTGGCAACTTAGTATGACTTTATCTCAAAATAAAATTCTTAAAAGGGCTAGAGATTAGTCCAATGCATAAGGCCCTGGGATTAATTCCAGGATCACTAAAAAAAGGGGGGGGTGTGGATATGCTCAGACGGAGCTTGGTTAGAGAACATGCCAGCTGTTGGTTACCTCACTCTCCTCTCTTCTCCCATCCCATGACCTCATCCATCAAAGGCAGGAGAGCTCTCACCGGATTTCCACCAACAGCTGCTCAGCAGAGTCTACACTGAGAAGCATTGAAGAGATCTTCTGACTTACCTGCCAACATCCTACCAGAACCTGAGAGTCATCCGTGAGGAATAATCCTTTTGGATCCTGAAGTTCTTAAAATGTTAAATTTACCTGAGCCCCGTACTTCTGGAAAACAGTGAAGGTTAGGACATCCCCTATTATTCTTAGTCAATTCAGACTGCTATGCTAAAAATACCATAGATTGGGCGGCTTCAGCAACAAACATTTATCTCTGGTATCTCTGAAGCTGGAAGTCCAAGATCAGGATGCCAATACAGTTGGCAACACAGAGAAGCCTATTCCA